ACATAATAGCAAATGGGTAGTTTTTGCTGCCAGTTGCTAAAGGCCCCATTCCATTAGAAGAGCGAAAAGTTAAACTCATCAGAGAGCCTGCTTCCATGTATTTTCTCTGCTAGCCTGGTGCAGAGATATAGGTGTCCCATAAATGTTTTTTTTCCCACCTCAGCTTTGGAACTCCACTGGCTGTTTTTCTGATTAAGGTCCTTCTAACCCAGTTACTAGGTACCATATCCATTCTGTTTTTTAATAATGGATTTAACAGTTTTTTAAACCAGAGATCCAAATTGAAACTTCTTGTGGGGTAAACTGCTTACCACTAGTGGATACTAAGGGTTAGGGAAGATGGCGGGAGCTCTGGAAGCCCAGCAGTGAGTTCTAAACACAGCTTCTGGCTTTTCTCACTGTAACGTGTGGCAATGCTACAGAACGAGGCACAAGGCAGCAGTGTTTAGAATGAATCGGCCCTTATGCCTTGTGTCCCTGGACAGTAGGAATGAGGTCTTCTACTCCATAAAGCAAGAGTCACAGGGCCTCAGGAAATGAAAGCTATATGGCGGAAGGAGGTGGTCTGAAAAGAAGAGACACAGATGGGTAGAGGAATGGATATGTAGAAAGGGTACATATATGAAAAGATTAGGAATCACAGGAAGATGGAACATATAGCTGAAGAGAAAAGGGCAAATGTCTTAGCTGCACATACAGAGATTAACCACTTAGCTGCTGGAGTTCCAGGCTGGCTAAAGTCAACTCTGCAAAATTGGTGTATGACACCTGCACACACATCATGCTGGATCCAGACCACTCTGTGCTGTCCCTGTCCTCTCTTCAGTCCTTTCTCCATGCCCACCAACACTGGCTAGGGGGAATGTACTCATGCAAGGAGGCTTGGGCTACATGGAGAACTTAGACTTTCCAATGCAATGGAGGTGTGTTTTAGCATAAAAAAAACAAACAAACAAACATTTTTTAGGGGCACTGCACACCTCAGAAAGGGTGATGTTAACCAAAACCAGTGTTTTATGAAAACATTGTTTTTTGGTTGAAGTACCCCTTTAAGTGGAATTATACTATGTAATTAGCTCTGTGTATTGTTCAATCTACAATTTAAAGAGAAATTATTAGACATAATTTAATAATTCCATATAAATTACTAATCATGTAAAAAAAAAAGCCAGGACCACAGGTTTATGGTTAACTGTGTGTGCAGGATCCAGCCTCTAATAATGCCACTACGAAATTATTCATTGATTTATAGTTCAAATGTTACCTGTTGGATTCCTGGATATGTGAGAGAAGAGTCCAGGTAAGTTACAGTACCTGTACTGAAAGAGGGCAGTGATTTCTTCTAGACTGTAAGCTCATTGGTGCAGAGTCCTCAATAATTATTTTCATGTTAAAATGTATAATAGTTTGTTTTTTATTTATTGTTTTATTCCAACATTAATATAGCTGCGGGACATCCTAGCGCCATATAAATGCCAATAAAAATACATTAATTTCATACAAGGTATGCCTAAATTAAATGAAAAATTATAAATTTTAGTAAAAGTGTTGCTTCATTTTAAATTAAATAAGCTTTTTTTCGTATAAATCTCTTGTGCTAAAAAAATAAAAATCTCAACTATTATTGCCCATTAAAGATAATGTAATTCCAAGCAAAATATTGATTTTAGGGGAAAAAATGCAGCTTATTTTATTGGGAAACAGCTTCCCAGTGGTCTGTAATATATCAGTGAAGATCATTAGAATATTAATTTGCTTTGAATGAGACAAGCAAAACTGCTTTTTAGGGTTAAACTATACGATCGCTCCTGAAATAATCGGTATTTTGTGAATTACAACTGAGTTGTGAAGATATAGGTGGCATTTTAATTTCATACAATCAATCCTAGTAATATTTAGAGACTTTATTGAGTAAACGTTATATCATTTTAAAGATGCATCAAAGCAATCTGATTGGTGGAAGATTCTGCGAGATGGCGATTTACGACCTCTGTTCACTGCAGCTCTTTGGCACTCTTAATTTAAAATTAAAACTTTCTAGTAGTGAAAGCGAGAGCTGAAAGTCAACCACTTTAATGCACTTCATGATTATTTGCATAGGTTGTTCTGAAATCATTACATTTATAAGAAGAAGAACAAAATGAGCCTGAGAAAGGATTCTTGTCTCAAATTAATCTTTGTTGGACATAATTCCGTTATCTAATTAACCCCTTAAGGACAAATATTCCGCCATGATTGCCTTTTATTCCAGAAGTCGTGTCCTTAAGGGGTTAAAGTTATTAGAGAGCAACTACTTAAGTTATTAGATAGAAACGATAACAAGGAGGGAGCTTATTGTTATTAGATCACTTTAAAACAAGATTGGAGGTAGGGAGGGGATATTGGGCTGCCCTACGTTATTATAATTAGAACCCCCACCCTCCAATCATGAGTGGAGATTGCTGGTCCCCCTTATTCATTCTTGCTGGCCATGGGTGGAGGCACAGGGGGACACTATGTCTCCCCCACTTTATTATTTATTGATAGCCATACCATGGTGGCACAGGGTAACGCTGTCATAGAGGATCTGTGTTATTATATTAGAGACTGGGCAGCATTAGTTGCCCAGTTGCTAGTCTTTAATGACAATGAGCAACCACAGTGACTGGGGTATTGACACTTTTTGACAGCGGTAGCTCTGTCAAAAAGTGTCAAGTGTTGGAATAATACTGAGACAAAGTAGTCCCTACAAGTATGAGTATTTCCTAAAGATTCTATCTGTATGAAATACTCATTTTGCAGGGGGGAGATGACAGTGTCACTTTAAGTATGCTCTGGGGACTTGTATTATATAGTCAAACACAAAGGTAGTGTAATTATCAACTTCCAAGGTACAATATTTGAAATGACCCATCATCATTTCTGTCAGGTGACATCATGTTGATATATCCCGTAGTAATCCCACCAAACCATTACACATCTTCTAGAATCTAGCCAATTATTTTCCAGTTTTGCACCTCCGTTGTCCTATAGAACGTTGGGTGTGTACAGTACATACAAACAAAATTGAACCATTCCAACCAACCACTCACAAGAACGTAATGTCAAGTACAAAAAGATTGCAGTTGATTTTATGGTAAAAGAAAAATACAGGCTCCAAGTTCATCTCACATCTTACAAGTTTTGTTTTAATCATAGATTGTACAGAACATAATCGAAGATGGAAGTATACTCTATATTGTGTAGATATTAACCAATTTGATCTTTGCTTATTCCAAAATTGATAGGCAACCTAAACTAAATCACAACACATAATCAAAGTTAAATGTCCATGTTCTGAAATCAAAAAGACCCAGAGCTTATCCTTTTCAAACTCTCTTATAACTGCCTGCAACTTCAGATCTACCACTAGTTTAAACAGCTAAAGGAGAATAATTATAAATTCGTATTGCACTACAACAACTGCATTTTAACAAAGCCCGGGGTCCAATTAATCATTACACCGTCAATATCGCATTTGCATAAAACTATTCTCTTTAAAGACTCTATGTATAAGGTGACAGGGTTACCTCATCGATTATGTAAATTTCCCATCAAGCTTTACAGAAACTGTCAAAAGAAATAAAAGGGGCTGTCTGTATGCAGGCAACTCAATATCAGACGCTCTTGGCAAATCCGACTGCAAAACAAAGAGGAAGGAATGATACACAGTTTACATTTTAAAATAAAGTTCCCAGCAGGAGTCGGGGCTGTGCAGACATGTCTATGGTTTGACCTGTGTGGGTTCAGACAAATGTAAATTTGGCTCCTAATCTAGCTTGGCAGCTAAACGGTTAATGAGCACACTACGGCTAGAAATATATTTGGAGCTGTGCCAGCGCCCTCCTGTGCTAGATTATCTGACAGAAGCCAGTTATGACAACCTAGGTTGAGGAGGTATAGGGCGTTGCCTCCCACCAAATATAATTGGGGCTAAAGAGATATACAACAAAGTATATAAGGCACTTATAAACAATTCTGATAGTTATCTGAATTATGGTGTCAGCAGCTATTGCACAAATGAGTGGATATCCCCCAAAAAATCCACTACATACACAGATGAAAATAACAAGCAAAACTCAGTGTTTGGGTGATCCACCCCACTTCCCAACACACAGAGTAAAACTAGTGCAGCACTTATGATTAAATTCACACTTACCCCTCAATATATAGGGGAATATCCACATGTAAGAAAATAAAGAATAGGAATATAATAGTGTGATAAATTTATGGTAATGTGAATTTCTTAACGTGAGTATATAAATTAACTCACATTTTTTAGAGCCTTTTTTGTAATTAGCTCTAAACAAAAGGCAGATCTGGACCTTTAAGGTGGCACCAGGGAACCTTCTTCTATGTTTGTTCTCAGTAGCTGATATGCAGGTATAAGCAGAGAGACAGGAAACAAAACTTGGTGTAGCCAGATAAAACAATTATAGTAAAATATATAAAGAATTGCCTGCTCACCTTGTCTGGAGCCTGTTAGATAACTGGCTCCAAAATATTCGCTTAGTGTCAATTTATAGGGTGACACTTCCCTATGGGAACCGGAAATTCTGGATGTAGATTAAGAGAGGGGGACTCGTAAAATAAAATAGACATTTATTTCTAATAAAACAAGTAAAATAAAAGCAGAAAGTACAAAAAATAGCAGACTGAAAGTCTTTCTTGTGGTCCTTCCTCTTCTCCAATAATTAGGGCTAACAAAGTATAGGAATCTAGAAAGTGTTTGATTAAACACGAGGCAGGAGTTTTTAAATGTATTGTTAAGCAACCAAATAATGCTTATGAGAATAGTTTGGCGACACTTTGTTTAACAGTACAATCCGCTCAGTGAACCATTCATCAAATCATCCAGTGGCAGAATAAGGGGGGGCGGCGGGGGCGGTCCACCCCAGGTACCACTCACTAGGGGGTGCCTAGGGCGAACTTTCACGGGGGCGGCATTTCCCTTGTGCCTTATGTAAAGGGACCGGCCACTTATGAAATTATCCACGCGATTTCCCATCCAGCAGCAGAAGGTCCTCTGTTCTCATGATCCGCAAGAGCGTTGCCGCGGGTTGCCATGGCAAGAACAGAGGACCATGCTGCTGCTGCTGGATGGGAAACGAGCATGCAGAGTTCTGGGCCCCTTTTCACTGCCCATCTATGCTGTGCCACTGGACCACCAGTCGAGGAGGATGGGACGGGCAGGTAAGTGGCAGCACTTATTCCACACAACATACACACTGCATCTGCACACACTATACACACACTGCACACTGCATACACTATACACACACTGCATACACTATACACACTGCACACTTCATACACTATACACACACTGCATACACTATACACACTGCACACTGCATACACTATACACACACTGCATACACTATACACACACTGCACACACTATACACACACTGCACACTTCATACACTATACACACACTGCATACACTATACACACAATGCACACTTCATACACTATACACACACTGCACACACTATACACACACTGCATACACTATACACACACTGCCCACTGCATACACTATACACACACTGCACACACTATACACACACTGCATACACTATACACACACTGCACACTGCATACACTATACACACACTGCACACACTATACACACAGTGCACACTTCATACACTATACACACACTGCATACACTATACACACACTGCACACTTCATACACTATACACACACTGCATACACTATGCACACACTGCACACTTCATACACTATACACACTGCATACACTATACACACACTGCACACTGCATACACTATACACACACTGCATACACTATACAAGCGCACACACTGCATACACTACGCAAACACACTGCATCCACTACACAAACACACTTATTCACCAAGCAAACACACACTTATACATGTGTATCTGTATGTCTGTGTATCTGTATGTGTATCTGTTTGTGTGTCTGTATACTGCATACACTATACACACACTGCATACACTATACACACACTTCACACTGCATACACTATACACACTGCACACACACTGCACACTGCCTACACTATTCACACACTGCATATACTATACAAGCGCACACACTGCATACACTACGCAAACACACTGCATACACTACGCAAACACACTGCACTCACTATGCAAACACACACTTATACATGTGTATCTGTATGTCTGTGTATCTGTATGTGTATCTGTTTGTGTGTCTGTGTTTGTTTCGGTGTTCAGTGCCAAATACATTTAAAAACAAAATTGCAGTTGTTTTTTACATTTCAAAGCTGGGAGGGGGTGCCAAATAAAGGATCCGCCCCGGGTGCTAAATACTCCAGGTACGCCCCTGGTATCATCTATCATGCATCAAATTCTGAATTTGATTTTTTTTTCAGAGTTTCAAATAGTCCCAATTTGGGAACTCACCTAAGGGTTAAGTACCAGCATTAGGGACAGGCTTCTGTTATCAGGGAAAGTTTAACTGAAAACATATTTTACCAGCAACAAATCCTGATCATTGATCACAACCCAACTAACTATCACTAATCTTTTGTTTTTAGAGAGTTTATGCTGGTGTGCTGCATTAGTATTCAATAAACGTGGGACTGATTTAAATCCAATATCCACTTAAATCCATTTGTCTTTATTTTTGATGACCACCTAGACATATCTGTCTTGGTCACCATTGAAGAGTTGTTTTAGGTGACCTTGACCTGCTGTCCCCAGAAGCAAGACACTAGATAAACAAATAAAAAAATAGCTGGTGTCCTATAGTGTGACTGATCCATTGGACCTGGCATTGGTGGGATGTATGGGATGATACTCAGAATCTTCTCCTGTAAACTTCAAAAGGATCCTCAAATAATTAATGATGTGAAGATATTTAATTAAAAATACCTTAAAATCTTCATTATATGAGCTGGTGCATGTGGATGAATATTATATAAGGGTAATATATATGACATGAACATTATCATGACTTTTGGTAAAGTACTAAACTGTACACGCACATGACTTTTGGAAAAGAGCTTGCAAATAGATCATGCGTGAGGTCAGAGGTGAGGTCCATCTTCCTATGGCCTAGCTATGAGGTTTATATCAGCCAAATGACACAATAGATTTCAGATTTAAAAAGCAACATGAGGACGACAGGGACACAGTGATCGAGGATCTTCAAAACAACATTTTAAAATGAGCATTTTAGGCATGCTAATGCATTTTTAAAAGCATGATGAATCATATTAACATATTAACATTCTATTCCTATCGCACCTTGCAGTATAACGTTTATTGATTTATGATTGCATAACGCTTTTTTTTTAAGGGTAAAGATCAATTTAAGTTATAAAGAATAAAATGCCAGTATAATAAACATAAAGAAATTGTTCTGGGAGGAAAAATTGGGCGGTGTGTTTAACATTTTTAACATTCCTAGTGGCTTCTTCGTACAGCTGCTTACTACAGATATATGCTAATTGTATGCAAATGCACTATTATGCAGATGTTGAAAGGCTCACCCTGTGCACCAATTAAAATAAGGACTCAGTAAATAAAGTTCAGGTCATTAAGCTTGTTAAGATATCGGCTTGCTCTGAGTTTTATCAGAAGGTGGTAAACTAGGGAGAGACTGAGGTCTAGATTTATCGATGTCGCCAGAAGTAGAAAAGGAAATCAGACAGAAATATACATATTATTTTGTGTTTATTTGGTACATGTTTGCAGGGTCACAGAGGAGTACAATTATTGTTGATGATCTTCAGCTCTTCAGTTTTGAACGGACAGAGAGTCAATGTGTTAGCTGGTGGATACAGCGGATTAAATAATCTCACAATTCCGTACAGTCTCATAGGGACAAGCTTGATCAAGTATTTTCATGACTCCTGGACCCTGTTTACACATGGGCAGCTGCCTTAGCCACCTTACAGTTAAACCTGCTATGGGCAGGGTTTTTTATGAGAAGGGAATCTGAAGAGGGAACTGCATCTTATCACAACACTGTGTCAAAAAACTAATGACAAAATCAATTAAATGGTTCATGGGAGAACACAAGTGGATAAAGGACCACTAAAGATACCCAGGTCACTTCATGCCAATGGAAGCAGTGTTTTTTTTAGAAACGGTAATATTTACATTGCAGGGTTTAATTCACATCCAGGGCTGCCATCAGAAATTTTGGGGCCCCTGACACAGCTCAAGGTCTGGGCCCCCCGGTGCCTGCACCCGAGTCCGTCAGTCCCTCCCCCTCCTGAGTCCGCCCACAGGGATGCAGTGTCTGCAGGGCCGGTGCAAGGACTTTTGCCGCCCTAGGCAAAAGTAAAGTTTGCCGCCCCCCATGTGACATCACAATGCCCCACCCATATGATCTGCCATGTTAACTAACACAGTGCTGCCATGTTTACAATAAAAGGCCTGCAGGGACAGGCTATAGACACCAGAACCACTATATTAAGCTGCAGTGGTTCTGGGGACTATAGTGTCCCTTTAATGTTTGGTAAATTAGAGATTAGTGCCACGAATAATATACTAGATTGCCTACTTGCAACCAGATGAGGATGATGATGGGCTCTAGCTGCCGTCTGGCTCCACTGGTCTGGTGTAGAACAGGCTCTCTGGAGGCGGTTTGTAACTGTGGTCACAAAAATCAATGTTCTGGGAGAACAGGAAGCAGCTCCATTTTTTTGAGGGCCCTTTACACAGCTCAAGGTCTGGGTCCCAGGGTCCACCTGTATGTTCCACCAATGAGTTTGTTCACAGGGGTGTGTGTATGTGGGGGGGATGTCCTGATGTGTGTAAGGAATGCATTGTGTGAATCTGTGTTTGTATGTGTAAGGGCTGCAAGGTGAGTTTGTGTATGTATGGGATGCAGTGTGCATCTGTAAGGGATGCACTGAGTGTGTGTAAGGGGTGCATTGTGTGTTGCTGTGTGTAAGGGATGCATTGCTTGTGTATGTGTGTCTGTGTGCATTGTGTGTTTTCTGTGTGCAAGGTGTGCATTGTGTGTGTGTGTGTTGGATGTCAATCTCTCCCCTGTCAATTTCCTTCTCCCCCCCTTCAATTTCCTTCTTCTCCCCCTCTCTCCAATTTCCTTCTTCTCCCCCCTCTCCAATTTCCTTCTTCTCCCCCTCCCTCTCATTGCCTTCTCCCCCCTCCCTCTCATTTCCTTCTTCTCCCCCTCCCTCTCATTTCCTTCTTCTCCCCCTCCCTCTCATTTCCTTCCTCTCCCCCTCCCTCTCATTTCCTTCCTCTCCCTCAAATTTCCTTCCTCTCCCTCAAATTTCCTTCCTCTCCCTCAACTTCCTTCCTCTCCCCTCCCTCAAATTTCCTTCCTCTGCCTCTTCTCCTCCCTCCCCTCAAATTTCCTTCCCTCCCTCCCACTCAATTTCCTTCCTCCTCCCCCCCCTCCTCAAATTTCCCCTCCCTCAAATTTCTCCTTCCTTCCCAACCCCTCTCCCCCTCAGTTTCCTCCTTCCTCTCCCCCCTCACTCCCAGGTTTCATCCTTCCTCTCCCCCCTCCACTCCCTCTCATCCCGCCTCTCCCCCCTCACATTTCCTCCTTCCTCCCCTCTCCCCCACTCTCCCTCAAGTTCCTCCTTCCTCTCCCCCCCTCAGAGTTTTTCCTCCCCTCTCCCCCACCACCTCAGATTTTCTTCCTCCCCTCTCCCCCCATCAATTTTCCTCCCTCCCTCTCCCCCCCACTCTCCTCACTCAGGTTCTCTCCCTCTCCCCCCCACCCCCTCAAATTCTTCCTCCCACCCCCCCACTCCCTCCTTCCCTCCTGTCCCCCACTCACTCACCCCCCAATTTCCTCCTCCCTCTCTCCCCCCCCCCCCACTCCAGATTTTCTTCCTCCCTCCCCCCCACTCAAGTTTCCTCCCTACCTCCTCCCCCCACCTCCTCTCCACTCCCCACCCACTCCATTTCTTCCCTCCCCTCTCCCCCACTCGGATTTCCTCCCTCCCTTTCAGGAATTTCCTCCCCCCACTCAAGTTTCTTCCTCCCTCTCCCCCACCCCCCACTCAGGAATTTCTTCCCTCCACTCCCCATCCAGGTTTGTACCCCTCCTCTCCCCACTCAGATTTTCCTCCTCCTCCTCTCCCCACCCCCACTCAGGTTCTTCCCTCCTCTCCCCCACTCCAGATTTCTTCCAAATTCAGTTTCCCTCCCTCCCCCCACTCAAATTTCATCAGATTTCCTCCCTACCTCCCCACTCAGATTTCTCTCCCTCCCTCTCCCCACTCAGGTTCTTCCCTCCCCTCCCCCCTCCCCCACTCAAATTTCTTCTCCTCTCCCCCGCCCCCCCACTCAGGAACTTTAATTTCCCTCCTCTCAGGTTTCTTCCCTCCCCCACCTCCCCTCTCCCCCACTCCAGTTTCCTCCCTCCCTCCTCCTTTACTCAAATTTCTTCCCCTCCTCCCCTCGGTTTCCTCCGATTTCCTCCTCCTCAGGTTCTTCCTCCCTCTCCCCCCCTCCCAGTTTCCTCCCCTCCCTCCCACCCCCCCACTCAAATTTCCTCCCCCACTCACATTTCTTCCCTCCCTCTCCCCCCACTCACATTTCTTCCCTCCCTCTCCCCCCACTCACATTTGTTCCTCTTTTCCATTTTCCAGGATGTCGAAAATGTTGGTGTGATGGCGTGTTCACAGAGCTTCCTAATGGAAATCCTCGTACTAATTAGTCTTACATACAATGCACTGATAAATTATTTTGTGCGAATAAAATACTTCGGTCTTGTTTCACACATACAGGGTTTTTTACTAAAGTGAGAATTGCCAGAAATTCAAAGTACATTCTAAATTAAATTCAAACTTTAGGCAAAAGTAGCCAAATTAGAAAAAATATCAAAGTCAATTCTGTTTTCAGGATCTATTATAGGTTTAAATTTGACAATAACTTTAAAGGCCTTTGAACTTTGAACTTAGAATACCTGGCAATTTTTACTACTTATTTTTATCTGACTGTCTTTCAAAGCTAGGAATACGTGTATACCTATGTATACCTTGTAACCCTTAGATATGTTAAATGAGAAAACAGGTCTAATTTGAGTCTCTCTGCCCCAGTGTTAATATTGGCGGCAAATTTCAATTTAGTTTTAGTCATAGTCTTTTGACTAAAAAGCAATTTTATTTTTAGTCGTATTTTAGCCATCTGAATTGTTGAGTTTTAGTCTAGTTTTAGTTAACTAAATCTCTAGTAGATTTTAGTCGACACAACTAAACTCTAATGGGTTTAGTTAAAGCCTCTATCTGTCTCTTTTGCCTCTCTGTGTCTTAGTGTCCTCCCAGTCCCTCCCAGGTGTCTCTCTTCCAAGCCCTGGTCTGTCTCTTTTGCCCCTTTCACAGCCCCTCTGTGCAGTGTTAATTTTGGCGGCAAATTTCAGTTTAGATTTAGCAATAGTCTTTTGACAAAAAAAGCCATTTTAGTTTTAGTCATATTTTAGTAATATTATCTGTTTTAGTTTTAGTCGACTAAATCTAAAAAATTTTAGTCAACTAAAATTTGACTAAAATTGTTTATTTTACAAAATTAAAATTGCTCTGTAAAACAAATTTAAGTTTGTTACTAAGATACTCTATATACCATCATGTTTTGTAACTATAGCTAACAACAATTTAAAGGATGAAATGCTTTTTTATTGCCCAGGAGTGAAATCTGGGATACGTAGGCTATGTCGATACGGAAGAATATCAATATCTTTAAGTATTATGGTTGAATCTGGACTGGAAAAGTTTGTTCTTTATCAACTTCAACATTAAACGCTCAAAAACGGAAAATTTGTGAAAAGCACTTGGAAACTTTTCCTGACCTCCCGAGTCATACAGATATTTTATCAATGTATTATTTATACTTCGATCCAAAATGAGTTAAGGAAATATATATGTTTTTTTTTATTTAGTTTTTTCATATTAATATATTATCAAGGTCAACTGAAAATTTCTGATTCCAAAAAAAATAAAAAAAATAACAGAATATTATGCAGAATCTAAAATGGGGAACAAAATAAAATAAAAATCAAGAATGCCTGAGGGTAAACTTAAGTTGCCCATAGCTCCCCAGGGGGCAGGTCTAAACTGTGTGCAGAGTTACTTGTGAGTAATTCAGTCAAATTCTAATTGTAGCATTCATTAAGCTTGGGTTATTCCCAAGTCAATGTGCGAATCCCAGGCCTCACGCATAATTGTCCTGAAATTTAGGTCACGTTATTTAACCCTTCCACTACCAACAGAAAGGAATGCCTTGGAAATATTTCTGGTTCCCCACGAATAACAGGGTTAAATACCCCCCAATTAGTCAGACACTGTGCGATTTCTATGTCAAATGTTTGCTCAAAATACAACTGCATCCATTATGTAATTTACCCTTTCAGCACCAAAGGAAAAAAACATGATGGCGAATATTTTGTTGTCTTTGTAAGCAACAAAATAAAAATTTGAAAGGAAATATATGAGTTATTTCCCTAGTCCATGACAATTCAAAATGCAAATTAACACTATCTGGGGATCAAGTGTTAGTACATGTCTGTAGAAAAGAATGGTTTATATTATGATAACTTTAAATTTATTATGAAGACCTCTTTTGTTGTTTGTTTGTTTGTATTTTAGTGTCTTTTCTATTACAGGTGTAAAGAAATTTTTTATATTTGATAAACTTTTAAATCTATTTTTTCAAAATCACTTGATTTAAAAGTCGCATTATATAAAGCCAATGTACCTAAATCACCCCAATTTACAAAATAATATTAATAGAAAAAAACAGTCAATCAAATCACAACAGGTGCTTTCCTGGGGCAAAGTTCTTAAGATATGTACTCTTAGTTTCCATGGAGATTTCTACTTATTTAATGATTTGTCCTATAAAAGTATCTGTTTTTATCTTGATATATGTGGCCCAATATGCCATAAATAGGTGTCTGAAATAATCCTGAATTTCAGGTTCAATCATTCAAAGCGGTATTCGTCTGCCCCAATATCTAAAATAAAACACACACACACACACGCACACACACAAACACACACACACAGAGCTATGTTACTAGATATACTATGTGTATATCTATCTATTTATTTTTAACTGATGTAACTAGAAATATCACCTATTTTTGATAGCTTATGTTAAATATAGATTTATTGGTAAATTGCAAGAGGAATTTTTAAATAATTATGCTGTGAGTATGTTAGGCATGTTTTTTGTTTCTAAATAACAATTTATTAAATTATTTGATGGGATTTTGTAGAACAGAAAATAATGTTCAGTGACGTTCCAAAGTGGAAAACACAAATATACATTATGAGATAAAAAAAAAAAAAATCTGCAATATACAACTCCTATACGGCCATAAGACCACGCAGTCTACATTACTGACATCAGACAAGTGTAATTAAAAATTAATAGAAAAGTCATATGATACCGAACAAGGATATGTGTGAGAGATTAACTCACAAGCCATAGGTCGTGGGGATATTATTAGAAAAAAGAAATCATTGATAGATGAAAATCTCTGCCTGATTGCCTATTACTTCATCCATTGATATGTGATATATAGAAAGGAGACAATTTAAAAGATGAGGGTTGTCAGTCACTGATAAATTTACAGGAACATGGAAAAAAAAATCATTTTGTGTTCTCAGAGGAGAATAAATAGGGGTTAACATTAATAAAGATCAACATCTTTGTAATAATCAATAAGATCATAACACTATAATCGCATATTAACTCATGTTGCTAGAGGCACAGTTGTTTTTATTATTAATAAGAATTTGATTTTGAATTTTGTTATGTGCATACGCTATAAATTATGTATGTGTGTGTGTGTGTGTGTGTATGTGTCTGTCAATCTACACATACACACACACACACACACACAAACACACACATATATACATACATATATAAAAACATACATAAATACATGCATAAACACATAAATATACATACACAAAGACTCTGTGTTACTGATACGTCTCTGTATGTACCCCAAATAAAATGCATTCAGGGCTTTTCTCATCAATATTGCATGACAGCACGCATGAATTGGACGGGGACAACTAATTAGAATGTCTAAAACAACGCCACGTTTGATTAATCCGCCCAATGGAATAACAATGCTTGTCCGATATAAACCTTTTGCTCTAAAGACATTAAACAAAAAAGTATCATTCCGAATTCTCAGATTATCACAACAATCTTTACATATCAGAGAGGAGATTAAAAAAAAATACTAACCCATGATATATACGACAAACTATTATTATTAGAAAATAAAATGTGTAGTTTGATAGATGGTTTTATAAAGGTGTTAACATTCAGCAGTAATTTTTAACCTCTTAAACACTAAGGGTTTGGCTAATTATGTTAAGCTGTGACACTGTTGACATGTTATTCAACATTAAGGAGTTAATTATAAATAAATAAAAATGAGAGTAATAAAAATTATCGGTGGTTCCGAATTGGCAACGTATTTATATATTATTTACTGATGAGCAAGTGACCAGATTTCTGCAAGTCTCATTTAGCACCAGTTTTGAAAAGATCATAGCAAATATTAATAAAGAGTGAAATTGTGTAAAAAAATGGACATATATATTTTTCCAACTGTACCGTTGGAGGTTACCAGATAATCCAAAATTATATAAAATTCTAAAAAAACAAAAAAAAACAAAGTAACAAAAAAGTCAAAATAAAAAAATCCTCTATTATTCCTATAGGAAATTATAATCCAAATATTTACTGAGGTATAATTAGAAGGAATTTCTTACACTGGACTCATTAATATATTTTTAAAGTATTTATTTAATTCACACTGGTATATGAACTTCTTAAAATTTTTGTTTATTTTTGTTGTTAACTTATAAATAAATAATCTTGAAAATGTTAGTTTATTTTTTTTTGCTTTTAGTTTATTTGATAATGTGTAATGATGTAGCAGTATATAATTTCTCAAATATATATATATATATATATATATATATATATATATATATATAAAGTGGTTGTGTGTTTCTTTAAATGTAGAAAAAATTATCAATATAGTATTTTCACTACCTTTGTATGGGGAAGAAAGTTCCATTTCTTTTGCCCTTGAAAAGAACAAGTTGTTTTTGACCTGCCAATAGCAGAAGGCCCTGGAGGATAGAAAAGAAATAGATATGTATGTAGTGAGAATGGGTTAGTTGCCCCTTCATATTTTCTCAATGAGATGTTCAGTAAGTGTTAATGTAAATCAATCAAGGCATTGATTGTTCATGGCCAGAATGATATGTAAGAAAGCCTTTTGTGGAGACGAGCTAAGGGACATTAAGGAATATATGCTGTATAAGTGCACAAAATATAAATGTGTTTGTTCTTACAGGAAACTATAGGTGGATTTGTTTTAAGACACAAGGAGAGCCAAACACAAAATAAAAACCCAACAAGCAAAAACACTACAAATATTGAAAACATATTCTTAGCACAATTTGTTAAGATAAGTTCAAGACACGTCCAAAACTATGCAGTGGGCTGAAACAGAATAGAAAGGTCTTTTATATTCAATGCATATTTTCTTTGCATATACATATTCAAAGAACATATCTTTGCATTTAGTATTTGAAATAACCTTTCAGTTTGTCTAAGCAATAAAGCAAAATATCAATCAAATTAATCTGTCTAATGTAGATGATTTTTAAGAACATATTTTAAAAAAATTAAAACATGCTCTAGGAGACATTAGTGTTCATGAGAGATGGATGCTTCTTTATATTCTTTATATATTATATTGATCTTTTTTTATTTTTTGTACATTTAATGTCACATTCACCACCCCCCCTCTCCGCCTCCCCAACCAATTTGTGCATGTCTCAGGAGATTGGGCATGAATTTCCAAGGAACTCTTGGTGAGTTAAATGGGGGCAAAGATAACAAATGGCACAGATTTTACTTGTTTTTGAATGCTCTGTAAATCCATAAAATCAAATACATGAGAGGAGGTAATTGCTGGGATAAACCCAATGGCCAAACTCAAATTTAAAATTGCAGATAAATATAAGGGATACAAAGAAGAATTACTAGACCTTAGATAATCTGGACTTAACTTGAAAAGAAAGCCACCTCCAAAAATGTGAAACAAAACCAGAAATAGGCCTAAGTCAGGGACACCAGAAGTGGGAATAGTTGAATAACAAGCCGAGGATCGGAGCTGGCAGCAGACAGAGAATGGTCAAATCAAAAGCTGGATCAAAAACAGGAAACAGACAAAGAATATAAGCAAAGAACATTCTTAAAAGGTCAAAACCGTGAACAAGCACCGAGAAGAAGGAAAGCTGTTTTTTTGTAGTCTTTCATTTTCTGTGTCTAACTGATGCCTGTATAAGACTGACATGCATTTTTCTATGTCTTCAACATGTGCTGAATAACATTAAAAGAGAGCAAGTTCTGTGGCAATAAATGACACACAGATCACGAGTCCGGCGTCAGAACGTCAGCCATGTTTGAAACATGTGTCAGTCGAGCCATGTTCTGGACATTGATTCCATTCACTAGATCTCCAGGTAGAGGTACAGAACTCAAGGTAGCGATTAAAAGTTACCATGCCACCCTCATACCTCCCCAATTGTAAAGTGATTATGAGTGTCATTTTACTGTTTGCACCATGAGAACACGACTCACAGCTAAACTGCGCTGACTTCCACTAAAGAAGAAGGTGTGAGTAAATTGAAGGACGGGACCAAGCACAGAGCCGAGTAGAAGAATTCCAAAGGTATATTCGGTTTTAAAGCCATTGACCCCACCTAATTTGTAACATCACTAGCAAGAACCAAACACTTTTTTTTTTAAATTAAACCTTGAAATGATGTTGGCATTCCCATAAACACTGGAGGGGAAAGAATATCACCAATGTTTCGATTTTTTTTTCATTTTAGAAGATATGATAGCATGACTATAGAGTAGAACATACAAAACACTTGATTGCCTGGAACATCTTGTACACCTCTGTCCCCTAGATGTTTGTCCATACACGCCATTATACATTTTCTAGTTTCAGTTCAAATGTCATTACAAATTAACAAACATAATATCTGTTGCAAAAGACCCAGTGGTGTTATTTTTAGTTACGTGCTTTAACTTTCTTTCTTTTTTTTTTGCATGGGTCATCGATATTGGTTGACATATGAACTAGCTTTCCCAGATGTGTTTAATTCAAGTTATACATTTGTTAAAATGGACTTTGCACTAATGAGAAGAGTACTGTGGTTTCACATATATATCAGAACATTCCCAGGTGTTTTTTGACGGTCCATCAAACCCAACAGTCACTCCTTAATAAATTCACAGCCATAATTCATGGTCCTTCAGAAACATTGGATATAAAACATTTGCTGTGGGACCTCTGCTATACTTACACACCGTTCTAAATGGTGGTCTAAATAATGGATATAAAGACAAGCAAGGAACAAAATTCATGTGAGAATGAGTCTTATGTACTGTGTTTGACAATACATGAAAGTGATGTAATAGTCAAAATATATGTTTTATCCCAGAGAGCAAGTCCCCTACTGCATATTCAGAGAAGGGCCTAATAGATATTAATGAACTCAGAGAAATATTTTATATGCCGCAACTATCTCTGTTTTATAACAGTGATAAGACCTGTATGGGTGATAGAACTGGAAGACCATTATGTACGTAGCATGTAAGTGGACCTCTAAAAATGCTACTTTAAGTGCAAGTATAGTATCAAAGGTTAGGGACCATGGTAATTGAGGGTATAGGATCTGTGGAGAGATAGGGAGGTGGTATGTAATGGATAGAGGCTGTGACATGTGGGGGGCAGAGGTTGTGTGGGTTAGGAACTGTATGTGGAGGACAAGTGGCTGTGGAGCAATTTGAAAAGGGGGTGGGGCTGGGTAGGGGCTATGGTATGTGGGAGATGTGGTGGTGGTATGTGATAAGACTGTGTGGGGGATAACCTAAAAATGGCCAATGGTGTTGTAATCTGGCTGTGGACATTTTGGTAATATGCTTAGTTTGACATTTAAATAGTTATTTTAGAACGGCCTTACAATACTTTTATGTTAGATAACCAAGTATTCTTTTGTATAACATTGATATACACATTTTCTGCCAGTGAATAGGTAATTCATTTTGGCACTCTCCAGTCTTCTAGTAAAGTAAGATGACTTCTGGGTCATTTTCCTTGCTTTGGCTCTTGAAGCAAGCATAAAAGCAGCTATATATCTGTAAAGTACAGTCTTTGAACAGTTTGTTTTTCCAGCGTTCTTCAAAAAAACGTTTCTAGAAAAAGAATAATGACGACTGATAACAGTGAGACAGCTTTTTGTTGTATTTACGAAAAAATATATTTTAATCCATTATAAGATTTCTATTTGACCAGAACACCCCAAAAGAAAATTAAGCTTACTGTCCAAAATATGTACGTAAAAGTAAAAATGCTACTACATTCTCATATGAAGATCTGATCTCTGTTGATGAAATTTAATTGTAGCAGTTTCATTAGATTTTTCTTGTGAATATAAAATAATCTCAGCAAACAGTTCATTGTTTTTCGATTCTTCTATTCCTATGCATTTGCACCCTGTGCTTGAAGATATATATTTAAAAGGCATCAGAAACTACAACTATGTTGTGAAGAATATCAAATATACTTGCAAGTAAAATATGTTGTTTTTAATACTGTTCACAGGCTAATGTATGAGTTTGCTTTTGTTCACGAGATGAGAAAACAAGACAGAAGTGGCAAATCACCTTCTCTATTTGCAGCCATAATGTCAGCAGTTAAAATACAAAAAAGAAAAAGAAACACATACAAAGACTCCCAGTATTTATCCATGAGAGCAGAGTGGCTCTCCTACTCTAAATGTCAAGTATGGGGAA